AATAGCACCAGGGTAAATTTGGGGTAGTTTCAGCACCGGAAAGAGAGCTTCGCGGAAGGAAAAGAACGAAACTCCACAACATTCGTTTATTTCATAATTTCGAATTGTTCATGAAACGCTATAAAAATTTAATTTAATGTGAAAGGATTTTAATTTGGAAAAATAAAAATACGAGCTAATACAATCATCTGATTCTGATTAAAAGAATCAGTCTTAGAATTTTCATTATGATAACAAGAATCAGTCTTAGAACTCTCTTAGTCTTTCATTCAGTCGAGTTTAACTGCAGTATCCAAAGCTGTTGAAACATATGCAATGAATTCAAGTGTTCAAACAAATAAATTGGGCACTTTAATATGTTTGTCTAAACAAAGAATCAAGTGTTGGAATGCTAAAGAATAACCGTAAGATTTCTTCTTACATACTATTTTGGTATTTGATGTATATGTCATATGGTAGAATTCAAAATCGAATCCGATCTCAGTGGTTGCAAATTTTCTGGATTACGAAGGTATAGATGTAATTACTACTACAATAAATATCATTTTTCCAAAGAAGCAAAGGAAAGAGGGAAGGTTTTCATCACATGCAATATATGTGGCTTATTTTTGCAAAGTAAATCTATCTTATAAATTATTCTGAAGTGCTAGACAAAATCAGGGTTCTTCATCACCATGAAACTGGTTTTGATTCAGGAGCTGAAGAACATCCTATTCATAGCCTTATCCAACATAATTTAACTCTTTTTCATGACATTTTAAGTTGAATTATTTCGGTATAATATATAAGTGCTTTGGCGTATTACGCTTTTAAATTTCTGGTACTCTTTTTTTTAGTGAAGTTGTATGAAAAATCCGTTGTTGTAATTTTAAAGTGCAGAGCAATTATTTGCCATAAGGTTATATCGATGCAGGAAACTTGGAAGATGTGCAATGACCTCGTCGGCATTCAAATCCGGCATTCCGATTACGCATTGGACTTGCTTCTATTTACACCACTTAGGCAAGCGAAAAGTTTGAAACGTTGAAACAGGACTGTTTAAACAGGACTTCTACTGCCTAAGCAGTACTTTCCTGTTTCCTAAAACAAGTCCACAATGGTCATGATGATAAAAAAGCATGAAGGGTTTCAAGGGTTCCTACAGTATCAGAACTTGATAAAGACAGAAAATGAAGAGGTCTAATATTTCTCTGAAGAGTTAGCGCACAAGTGGCGCCAACTAAAGGGTGGAGTAAGGATGGAAACCGACTTTACGTGACTTGACCATATGTTAAATGGAGTAACAAGAGCTAAGCTCCCTTTGATCCATATGAATTGAAAAATATGTATAAAAAATTCATCAGTAGAATACCAAAAACGGCATTTAAGGAAAACTGCTGAGCAGGTGAGGAAATGTCATTTAAAATTTGTGATATTCAAACAGGGGCAATGTCAGAGAAGAAATTCAAAACAGAGAACCCGAGATGTGGACCGGAAGTCTGCAAAAGCAGAAGGGGTGGAAAAAGAAAATTAACTGATCAGAATGTTGGGCAGGATAAGCGTATTTTTTTTCAGAGGAAAGACATTCTCTTTAGAGATAATTGGATTTTGATGATGTTTGACTGAAAGGTAGAACTTGCTTCTAATTTAGTCATTGATATATTGAATTTTAAGACCGTGATGGATGAGAACTTTCCTGATATAGCAAAGGGTGCTAACAATCATTCCGAAAGTCTTGTTTTGAAGGACCTAGTGAAGATTAGATTTATCAGCTTATCCCCAAATATAAGATGCGTAGAGGACAAAGGAGAGACTTGTACGATATAACCTTGTTTATGAAGCAAAGTTTGCCGTGGCTTCTAAGGAAAGGGAACATATTGCAAATGCTCTAATAAAATTTTTCATGAAATCTCTTGAACTGGTTTTTGAAGGTGAGCGTTCTCTCGAAATTTACTCCAAATGTAGTGTCGTTAATCCATGCTATTGGTTCATTAAAGAGAACGAAGGCATGATGGAATTTCCTTTTTGTAACATTATTACAGCAGACTGCTGACGACAATGCGCCATTTAGTATGACGAATCTTCAGCAGTAAGATAGTAGTTGTCAACGAAAACGGCCCCAGTGTAGATCTTGGCATCCATGACCCGGTGATGGTGCTGACAGTGAAAAAACAGGAAGAGCTAGAGTCATCTATGCCCCAGTGATAAAGTTGACTGTGAGAAAACAGGCAGAGCTAGAGGATCGTCGACTGCGAATGGAAGCATGCCAATAGCGAATCGCAGAGTAGAGCTTCACGTGACTTTCGTCGGCGAAACATAAGTCCAAGGAGAGGAAAGGGAACTTAAAATCTATTTCAAGTAATTTCACTAAAACGATACATTGTAGTGATAGCAGTTTAAAAGCTTATAATGCAGGGATAGTTTATACGGGATATTTAACATTTTACATAGCGTACAGCTTATCAGTATGCAATAATACGCCTAGATACATATGTATCTAGTGTTACACAGAATTTTACTACAAGAAGGTGCAAATGCTTCGTTAATATGTAGAATACATAATAACTTGGAAAGGAGGGATAACATACCATATATATTTCCCCTTTTCAAGGGAAACTTGTGATGACGGGACCCAGTCTCCAAATGTTAGTGGAGAGAAATTATCTTCTAACACCTTCTAGTTAGGGCACCACTCGAAAAGTTAATGGGTTATATGGATGACAGAAGCTTGGAAATGTGCAATACCAATCTCGAACTGAGATAACGCGTTAGTCAGGAGGGATAAAAAACCTTATTCGCATATTACAATAATTTTATTTCACCACCGCTGTAAATACTGAATTTAAAAATTATGAATTGGATGAGTATTTCTAGTTTATTTTCTCGTAGTTTTCATACACAGCAGAAAGACAGTAATAAACTCAATATCTTAAATCCCCAGCGTGATTCAGTTTTTCATTATACAACTTATTACACGGATTCGAAACATTTACTGTATTTCATAAAATGTATTAAAATGCTGCTTATAATTTGAATTCTGATACATTGGGTAATGTGTTGTACTTTTTTGAAAGGCGGTGCTGATAATTTTTCACGAAAATTAATTCCAAAGTTTACGAAATTTGGTATAGCATGTATGTAGATATGTATTTTGATGTGCACAAAAATTTGAATTTCATGTATTCATTTGGGCAATGTGGAAATTACTTTAACTAAGCATTCAGCAGTTTTTATGCATAAAGTTTGTTACTACTTTCTTGCAACACAGTGAGTTTTCATAAAGCATTCCAGCAGAATCTCTATCAGCGAATTTTGTACAAATAACTATTATTATGCTTTGAAAATTGAAATGAGAAAATTCCTTAAATCATAAATCTGATATATGTATTACCAAGCTTCAAACATTTACAGATACTTGAAAAAGTATCTGTGAATCTTAGAAAAAGGAAATGAAAATTCACAAATTATAAAATTTTTTTAATTAGAGAACTGAATTAAATATGAGAGAAATTTGTTTTTCATGCTGAGGTTAGAATAAATTAATGCCAGATTTAATTTTTTTGCTTTAAATTTTCTCACGACATAGAGTCTCATAGCGATAACTTGAGTTCATTAGCATGGGTCTTCAAAATAGATAACAAACTGATAGCATCAATTTTTTTCAAAATTTATAGTTCACAGTTTGTAAATACATTTACATCAACGAGCGACAAGAAGTCAAACTGCTCTGAAATTATTTTGTTACTTGTTATTATTATATATCATATTCACTGTTGACTAGTTTTGTTGCTACATGTTATTATTTTATCACAGTTTATACTTATTTCCTATCATTTACAGTTTTAAAAATAATGATTTATTAAGTTTAATGAAGCAGTGATAATGTATCCTCTGAGAGGATTCTTGGGTAAGCAAATGAGTAATTTGATTTTTAAAATAGTTTATGTCATTATTTTTATGGTTTTAACCTGCAAATGCAGTTTTGCAAAGCTCCATTTATTGGTGATAAGAAGAATATAGCAGGCTCCATTTGTTAATACGTTTAATCTGCATTATTAGCTGAGTTTGAAAAAGGCTCTATTCGTTTCAGAAACTTCAGTTTCTTCCAAATCTATTTATATTTTTAGTGCTGTAATATCGTCCTAGATGTTGTTTATTGAACAATTAACTATTTCATTATTAGACTATTGTAAATTTTAAAAAGATTGCGAAGCTCATTCAGACTTTTGTAAATTTCATTAAAAGGTTAGTATATAAGTTTTCGAATTAATTATAATAGATTATAATATAGATTATAATAGATATAATAGATTATAATAATTATAATAGATTATATTGTTGACGTGATTTTTGTAAATGGTTTTTAATCATCTTTTAGTTACTTGTAATTATGCAGTTACCATAAATAGTTTTATTACTGTCGTTTTTAATAATAAAGTTTTGTCTATAGTGATAAAATTTATATCTGCTGCCTTTTTTGTAGCTTAAATAATGCATAAGTGCTAAGAAATTTACAGAATCGAGGCTTGCTGAAAAATTTGAGTTTTTATGAAACGCTTAACATAAAGCTTTTTAACATAAGCTTTTTAATGAAAATGTTTTCTTAGACATAAAATATTTTGTTATTTCATTTCCTAATTCCCTCCTAATGATTTTCAGGTAATACCCGTTAAAGTTCACAGATTGCTGTAGAGGGAACTAATTTGAATTTACCATCGTAATTCATCACTGTGATATGAATTAACATCTTGCTAGTTTTGTATCGTAAACAATGGCCGTAAAACGCTTATTTGTTATTTGTCAAAGTACATATTTCCTTTTTATAAATTAGTAATTCAAATTCATATTTATAATTTGTAAGCCACATGTTTGTTTTTATAATAATAAATTAAATGGCATTTCTTTTTAAATATGATGCTATTTAGCAATAAAATTAATTATTTCTCTATTCTACTTTCATAGCAGAAAGTTTACCTCTAACTATTAATAAACGGCTTACTTAAAGGTGTTTTTTCTTTCAGGTAACTATTATACTTTTAGCTGTCACGTGTTGCATATCAGCTTCCCCATTGGTTCAATCAAAGAAACTTTGCGGAGATGAACTTTCATCTACAGTAGTTCTTTTGTGCAAAAGTAAGCATAATAATTCTAGCAGATAAAAATCTGATTTCCTTGTATGACCTATTAAGTAATACACGTTTTTTGCTGCATTCGTTTAAATTTATTTCCTTGAATTTCATTAGGGATATATTTCTCTTTCAATTAATTCGCTTCTCATTTCGCGGCAAGGCAAAAATACATAAAAACTCAAAGTATCTTCATTGAAAGTTCAAAAATAAATTAGTAATTCAAATATACATAATCATAAAACATAAAATACAGTTAAAACAGTTTAAAAACAAAGTTACCACTTCAGTTAAAGTTTCCACGCAAAAACAAGCAGTTCGGCCAGCGTACAGGAAGACATTTTTTGGTGCACCAAATTGAAAGTTTACTTTTTCTCCTAATAAGGGGGAAAAAAAAAAAAAAAAAAAAAAAAAAAAAAAAAAAACTGAAATTCTCGCACAAACTGATTTAATTCCCTCTTCAATTAAGTATTCATATGTAAACAAATGGCGGCCTCGTTAGGTTTAACACTACTTAATTTTTTAAATTGTCGATAATTCTATAATTATTGCATACAGATTATTAACTAAAGGTATAAAAACTTTAACCGAAACATAAGATCAAGATAATTCAATTACTTTTAAAGCAAAAACATACGATTTATCAACATATAAGAAAAGTGAAGTCACCGAGCTGGGTAAAAGAATGGGTATATATATAGATAGATAGATACATAGATATAATTAAAAAACAATTTAAAAAAAATATAAATATGCCTAGTATTTGCACGCCTTAAGCTGCTGAAAATTGTCATTAAAGACATAAAGTAAAGCCTCTAGAGCTATTGTTTCACAAATACCAAAAATTTTGAAGTTCATAATTAATAAATTTCAAATAATCATATATATGCAACAAATAAATAAAAAAATAGTAAAAACCAAAATTTTTAAACAATCAATACCCCGATTCAAAAAAAAAAAAAAAAAAAAAAAAAAAAAAAATTAAAGAACATAACAGAAGAGGAATTCAATCAACTTCAATGCCACTTCTTTAGGGAAAAGGAAAACTGAAATCTAAAAGCAAGGATTTTTTTAGAAGAGAGATTAGTCATCATGATGAGGTCATCAGTTCCATAGTTACTGAGATCATCAAATTTAATTACACCAAACATTTATTTGCGTCCGCTGGTTAACTGAAATATATGCTATGTCGGTGCATAAAATGTGAAATAATAATAGTAAAAAAATTTAAAAATCTGAAAACTTTCAGATTTTATATTAGATAAAAAAAAAGGGCGTTTTTTTAACGTCTCGTGTGTTACCTCTATTTATTAAATATCATGTTCTTTGCACTTATACCGCATAAAATTCAGTTCAACAGCAATATACAAAATATTTAAAAACAGCGTACCTTTCGTAGCGTACAACAGCGCAGCATTTGCTATAGATAGTCTCATGACCTGGAGCTAAAAATGTTTTTTTCTGTACAATGTTGTCATTGTCCCTTTGAAAAAGCTGAGCTTGTTGATCAAAAATTCGTTAAAAATTTTCAAAATGTGAAACAGATAATAAAACAAATTTAAAATTAAAAATTCGGTCTTCCAGGTACCCATGTTCGGGTGGAGGATTGCGTTATTCAGAATTTGATGGCTCTAAGTACCGTCGTTTTTTCATAATGCGAGAAATATGCCTACATTCATGCACATTATCCTTTGTTTAATTTCTTTTAAAATAATATAGGGTGATAATATTTGGTGATAACAATTTGAAAAATTATTCAACATTTTACAGTGTTTAACGCAAAATCCGGTTTCGGGACTAATAGCCCTTCTGAGCTAACTCTTCTTTAAGCTAATTATAATTTGTTAGGCTAAACGTTTCGGCCTGCAGGTACCTTTCTATTAGATTTTAGACCTCTATCCTGTTAATTAACTGGGTCAGATAAATATGAAACAGGATATTTTGGTCCCACCTTTTCTTTACCGGGGTTTCGGTTTCAGCATTTCAATCACCCCATTGAGCGAAAAGCTCAATTAATTAGTTTTTTCTGCTTACCTTATAAGGTATTGCTCCCGCCTTCTTAGCATGCCTTCGTAGTGTAGTGGTTTTCCCGCTGGGTGCGTATTCCAGAGGTCTGTAGTTCGATTCCCGGCGAGAACGTTGCTCATTTTTCATCTTTCCTGCTTTCAAAAAAATACCTAATGTCTCTACAGTGGCGTCCGAACTAAAAGGGTGGTGGATGATGATTCTCCACACATAGGATTTGGCGATTGGTTCGCTAAAACCCCAGTCGACCTTTAAAAGGGGGAGTATACAAGGTATTTCTCCCGTCTTCTTAGTGTGCCTTTTGTAGTGGTCTACTTGCTGGGAGCGTATCCCAGAGGTCCGTGGTTCTATTACCGGCGAAGGCGTTGCATATTTTTAATCTTTCCTGCTTTCAGAAAGTACCTAATGTCTTTCAAAAGTACCTTTTAACAAATTTTAGAGACACCTTTATTGTTTTAAAGCAGAAAAAGTTTGAACACACTTTCCAGACTGAACCTTGTGAAGCTACAATTAACTCCAGATTAACCAAGGGTGGATGAATTGAGCCTTCTCTAAAAAGGGATAAGTTTGTTTATAGAGAGAACGGAACAATTGATATCCCAAACTAATAGAATTAAGCAAAATTTCTACGAGGAAACACCCAACAGAGAAGCAAATACGCGGGAGAAAGCAGTGACAGTAGTCTTCATCAGTATCTACATAGCCAGGACTACTAAGCATTTTAAATCATTCCTTAAATATATTCTAAATCGTAAAACTAAATCAAGAGTGAAGTCATTACTCTTCTGTTTCTCTTCACTCCGATCAAAATTCTTATGCCAATTACTTTAATATTATACTTTATATATATTTATCTAGAATGCTAAGCTAGCACAAAATCGAATCATAATAATAACAGAGAATACAATAAAAATAACTGTAACAATAACTTACAGAATTAGTTCTCATTTGAAATATGCTTTACGCTATTAACTTCTAAAATGCAATCTAGAAATATTTCAAATCAAAACATATTATATATACTTACTTTTTGTCTCTCGTTTCCCTTGACCATTAAATAATTTGGTTTTAGTTTGTGACACAGTTTAATTCTCTTTAAACATCAACATTTGAAACAGTTCCATCTTCTAAAACAAATCCTTTATCTAAAAAGTGGTTTCTCAGTAATTTGAGCCCACCAGAGGCCGAGCGGTAAAGTCGCTGAACACTGGTAGTTCGGTCCGAGGTTCGAATCCCGCGAACGGGCTGCCTCCATGGGCGTTTTCGTGGTTTTTCCCATGTGTAACGTGTATACGAGCCAGTTTTCCTTAGAAATCCTCCACGAAGGCATCCCTCCCCTTAGGCAGATAGCCCTAGTGTGCTTTGTCATAATTAAATACACCAACACTTAGTAATTTGAGGCAGTGCGCTAAATCTGCAAAAACCCATATTTTTTCATTTGGAATACTGGATTTGGAAAATGAGAACTATTAATCGAAATCTGTAACTCTTTCCACAAAGTAGTAGATCCTCCTAAATCAGACACTATTGCTTTCACTTCTACTCTAGATGATTGAATATGTCTTATGAGTGAAAAAAAAGAAGTTCTTTCTTCATTGGAGTGTTTAAAATCAAAAAATATTGGTTGTTTCCACTGCGAAATGAGACCTCTGATTAAAACAAACTGCACTTTTTGAAAAGGACCGATTTTGGACCAGTTTAGAGTCATAGCAGAGTTTAGAATCTATGTGCATTTCGTCGAAACTGAGAACGCATATTTTTTCTACTGAATTCAAATATCGGCATCTTTCCTTCATTACAGCAAGAACATCACTCTGAATTCCTGGACTACATGAAAATTTAGCGCACCATCTCTTTAATGTGCTAGTGCTAGGTAAAGGAATTCTCATTTTTTCTTTCCAAAAATCGTAGCTTTTAGGTGACAGAGCTCTTATGACAATGCAACGTGAAATATCTTCACTAGTCCACCGGATGTTTTCCTTCTTTTCTAGCAATGCGTTAATCTGCGTCTTTGTAAAAATATGGTTTAGACGTTTTTCCAAATTCTCCGATCTGTTCTGTTTTTTCCTAAATTTCGTTGTTTGGGATTTTAATTTCTGAATTTCCGATACAAATTTCTTTCTAGATGTCGTCCACCTTCTTTGTCGCTGAGTAAACATTCTAAAATCTTTCTTTTCTCTATTTTTAAATATTTTATTACAATTTTCTAAGGATATTATTTTGTTCTTCAACTTATCAATACATTCTTATTTATCTTTACACTTAGGGCACTCAGGGATATTGTCACATAGGGCATTGTCACTTGTGAGTTTTATTTCCAAAATCATTCACATTTGATTTATTATTGTCAGCTTCAATTTCGTTCTCGGCCTCAAAATAAATTTTCTTTGGGCTTAATTCGTGTAGTCTTTCAAAAGCACTCTGCATTAGTTTTCTTTTCAAATGTCTCCGATTTCTTGGTGTTATTTCGTTTACTGCACACGATAAATTTACTTTCGGCACAGCATTGCATTTCAACAGTTTCTTTTGTGGCAATCCAAGCAAGCGATTTCTCATGTCATCTTCATAATCACTGCACAGAAAATGTTCGCCGCAAATTCTTGCGTTTTTCACATTAATAGAATCCTGTCTTCGACATTTATGTATCCATTCCTTCGTTAAAAGCAAATTGTCCTTTGGGAAAGCATGAAATACAATATCTCTTCCTTTCGTATTTCTATAAGTGTTACGGCACGTTGCTACAGCACAAGAAGCCATATTACATAAAGGATACTTTAAATATAGAATTTAAAAGGAAAACTGACTAAAACTATATATACACAAATTATTTTAAATATTTGCATTATTAGAAAACAAATATGTATGATTAAAATTAATTTGGGATATGCGATCTCCAGAAAATCGTCTCGCAACGGAATGAAACTACAGTTTTAAAGGCGCGAAATCAGAGCAGGTGCAACAGACGTCAGATTACTTCCGGTTCCCCCCCTCTATAAGACTCGCGTCGGCGAGGAGTCGAACAAAGGAATGACCTAGCCCTTCTATCTATCCCTGAATTGAATGCCAGTATTGAAAGAAACAATCAATCTGATAAGAAATGGCTGCGACGTATTTTGAAGATATAAGGCGTAAAAGGTTACCAGTGAGAATATTCCGTTTGCATCAGTTGTACTATTATTGGCGACTTTATCGCCTGCGCCGGCAAAACGGAAAACTACCTTATAGTCTTGAAGACCATTTTCGTATATTTCGTTTATGTTAAAAAAACTGTAGAGACATTAGGTAATTTTGGAAGAAGGCAAGATAAAAAATAGCCTTCGCCGTGAATCGCCTTCGCCGTGAATCCAACTGGGGAGCTCTGGCCCAGTGTGCAGAACCACTACACTGCGAAGGCTCCCTAGGAAGGTGGGAGAAATACCTTATAAAACTACTAAAAACGTTAAACACAACGCAACTTAAAGCGCGTCTGAATCTCGAAACTCACGCAGAGATCTCTCAATACTCTGAAGTCAACACTTAATTAAAAGCAACTGAGAAATAATGCCTTTTAAAACTTAACTGCCGGAAAACAAATCTAGAAACAATGTTCCGGCAAACTATAGAATCCAGCATTCTATAGAATTCCTAGACATTTTATATAATGCCGAAAACTGAGCAGCAATATAAGAAACAATTAAAAATTTTACACAGTGGTTAGGCATTCTATAGAATGCTAAATGACAAACCAGCAAAGTATGACGTACATCTTCATATTATCAAGCGTATGTAATACGGCCGAGCGTAGTAACTACTCAGAGAGACGTAGCCCAAAGGCAAATGTGCGCTATTCAGGAAATCTAATTCTCTCTCTCGAAGTCAGAGGAACTTCGACTTAAATACCACTTCTTCTCAGCTACTCATTTGCATTTAACGCGATTCTAAAAACTCATTCCGATAAAGAATTGTAAGCCGGATTTAGAAGAGATAAGAAAGTGTGACAAACTTAAAATAACTGTTATAAATTTAGACTATACCTTACAAACTTCCTCAGAATTGAAGGTGTTCTTGACCACGAAATTCCTCTCTGGCGAGTTGCTGTTGCTCAGTTCAATGGAAGTGGCTAAGGATTCATCAAGTGTATGTGCAAAACAAAATGCCTAAATATGCAATGTGTGGGTGTGAAAAAGGTAATGAAGGGAATTCAAAATTTCATGCAAGCTTGCCATGTTGCAGCAAAACAGATTGATTATAATCGTACATCTTTTCAATAGTAGCATTATCATGACTGATTTTTCATACTTTGTCTAAAGAGCATTTGTCATTCTATAGAATGTCTAGGTATTATATACAGTGCCTAAGTTAGGAACAAAATAATTCTCGTATTTCGTACTTTGCCTAAAAATTGCCAGACATTCTTTAAAATGTCTAAGTATTCTATAGAATTCCGGTGTTTCATACTTTGCCAGTAATATGTATATGAAAGTTCGATAGCAAGAACAAGTCTTGCATCCAAATAAACAAAACTTTTAGATTATACTTTGGTTCATTTATTCTGCTCATGAATACAAAGGCAAGAAATATATATTACTGTAAAATAAACTTTTAAAAACAGAATACTCGTTAAGGTAGCCAGAATCTGAAGTATACAATTTCTTGTTTATTTTTCCAATAGGTTTCGAGCCAAGTTTGGATTTCAGCGAAGTAGTCATACCCCAGAGTTTGGCTGATGAATGCTGTCATAGACCTTGCAGTCCGTTAACTCTCATCTCATTCTGTCCATTTTCTCTGATTAGTCAAAATGCAGTGGTATAAGACTCAAAGGAGAGGATGTAACATGTTATTGAAAAAAAGATGGATGTTTTGAAAGCACGATGGAATTTTGTTGTTATTAGATTGCTTTTTTTATCTCTTGTTTATGTGATTTATCACAATTGTTATTTGAAAATATACCTGTTTTAATGTCGAAATAAAATGTATGTGTATGTGTTATAATTGTCATTCATTATTTCGAAATATGATTTCATGCATTAAATAGTAACTCTACAAAGACACTGTTGCCAGTATTTGTCATTGTTTTACATAAAAAAAGCACAATCTGGTAAAGGATTTGATATTTGATATAAATTTCTATTCCAAAGACAATCATCTTGGAATAGGAATTACTCGAACAAATGAGAAATTCTTATAAATTGATGAAAGTGTTTTATAATCTGAATAAATTCTGAAGTGAGGAATACACTCCTTAACACAGAATCATTTATGAACAAAATAATGGGAGGTTAATTTTGTAAGATAAAAGGTTTATTTTAAAATAGAAGTTTTAATGAGTAATGTTTGTAATAAAAGCATTATCTTCAAAGTTAGTAATTTTCCTGAATTTCCTTTTATGAAATCAGAAACACACATTATACTTCACTGTATTTAATGAATTTAATTTAGTACTGTCAACACCAATAATACTGTGTGATTTTTCTTCAAAATAATGTATATTTTATATTCATCGTTTACTCAAATTAGTAATTTGAAATATTTATAATCGCAGAAAGTAAATGAATGCATGTAATATTCCCCACATAAATTTCAGAGGAAGAAAATAGGAATTATATCATACCTTATGATTTGAAATACGCGTCATAGGCTTAAAGGCGAAAACATGACAGTAAAAATACCGGGGACGACAATGTCGCGGAGAAAAACGCAAGCCGAAAACGTCGTAGTATAAAACATCGTGGAAAGAAAGAAACCAAGGAGAAAACGTCGTACTATAAAACATCGTCCTCAAAAATAAAACGGTTCAAAGACATGATAATTTCAAAACATTGTAGTAGATAATATCGTGTTAAAAATAAAGCACCTACTAATCATCGCATGACGATAACATCGCAGACATGTGTTCTTCAGGCTATAAAAGTTCCAAATGCATTTTCGTATAATGATTTGTAAGTGCAAGTAAGAATGAGGAATATTTATATCTCTATTCTATTCTTCATATTTTTGGATTGTTAGCATATAAATTATATATTTGCTAAAAATGTAATAAGGAAAGCTTAGCATTCAAAAGCTTAAAATGTGTAGAAAATTATGCTACGCATAGCAGTTGACAGAAATTTAAATTTATGCATTTAACTTTTAAAAATCATTATTTAATTCAGCTCATTTATAAAGCTGTAGTGACAAATTTTCATGAAAAATGTAGTCTAAAATGATAAAAAAGGGAAGACGAAAAACTGCATAATTTTAAATATATTAAATATATTAAAATTATTCAATTAATTATCAAATTGATAAATTATTTTCTTTCAATTTCAGTAAGTTTTCTTGCTTTTTTACCGAAAAGTCATTAATTAAATATGAGATATAGAGTTTAAAATATTCCTTATAACCTTTTTCGTCACAAATCATTAATTTAATGTACATTTACAACTTGTAAAACCTGAAAAACACATGTCTGCGATGTTACCATCATGCGATGATAAAGTTGCTTGATGTTTACCACAATATTATATATGATGATATTTTAGAGGTGCGATATTTTCCCCTCGCTTTCTTTAATCTCACGATTTTTTGCATGACGATGTTTTTGCTCTGCATTCTTTCCTTTTGGCGTTTTCGTCCGCAATATTTTTTTCTGTTATGTTTTCGGCGGACATCCTTCATAATACTCTTGATAATAGAATAAATAAATAGATGGCATCATGCCATAGTTAACGGCAGTTAAAAGAAATGCCATAAAATGCATAATATGCATATTTTTTGAAGATAATTGCAGTCAGCACACTAGATGGCTTTTCAAGAACTGTTTGAACTTCTATCTCCAGTGTAAATTCTGTATAACAGTACTACAGATTTGCAAAGTGCACTGGTATTGCAATATAATAGTCTATCATAATTTTGTACTAATATTTCAACTGTACCAGTACTTTTGAATTGCGCAGACGTTTTTGGGTGCTTATCTTGTGAATTGTATTACATATTGTACAATATTATTTTCTTTGCTTACCTGCATTAGTTTATTGCCATGCATCTCTTTTTAAATGATTACAAGAGTGTGTTTGAAACAATGTAGTATTTCCAGAACCCGCAAAAAAAGCTCTGGTTCTAGACCAATAAATAAATAAATAAATAAATAAACGAATAAATAAAATAAAATAAAATAAAAATCTGAAAGGTTTCAAGTTTTTATTTTATTTTAATAGGCTTAAACTATATCCAAAGGGACGTTTTTTAAACATTTGTTACTTTTATTTATTAAATATCACGTTCTTCGCACTTAAACCATAAAATTCAGTTCAAGAGCAATATCGCAAAATAATTTTAAATTGAGCATATCTTTAGAATTTCTGATACGCAGTTTCACGTGCTGAAGATAAAAATGTTTTTTTCTGTACAACGTTGCCATTCCTCGCTTGTAAATAGTTGAGTTTCTTAATCAAAATAAAAAATTCGTTAAAGTTTTACAAAATATGAAATCGATAATAAAACAAATTTCAAATTTCAAATTTGGTCTTCCAGATGCTCATATTCGCAGGAGGATTACGTCATTCAAAATTCGATGGCTCTATGTACAGTTGTTTTATTACAATGCGAGAAATATACATATATTTATGCAAATTTTTCATTATTTAATTTCTTCAAATATAATGCAGGACTCTAACATTTGGTGACAACAGTCTGAAAAGTAAAACGGATATTTATAAATCGCAAAACGAAAACTTGTACTGTCCTTCAGGGACAAAGCCCCTTTGGACTAAAGAAACAGCATATGCGCTGCTCCCTTCAGCTTAATAATAGTACAATAAAAAAGACTGTTTTAACCGCACGGCTGATTTCACTCCTTACACAGTATTTTTGTTGCCCTTTGCTATAAAAACAGTTTTCTTCATCTGGACTTGCAATCAAAATTAGAATCACTGGCAGGCTATTAAACAGGATAAAAAGCTCCATCTCCAAACAGTCAAGCTGGACTATCGGAGGAGTAATACTCTTGCTATTTTCCGATATATGAAGTCTGAATCTGGCCCTTGCTTAATAGACGTCCATTACTTTAACTCCTACATCAGTACATATCCTAGACCTGCTTCCGCCCACGTGCAAATTAAAACTGGCCTCCTTTTTTACAGAAATATAATATGTATGATAATCATTTCACCGCCCTTAAATTTAGCTGCTCACGTTCTGTGTACCAGGTTGCGCCTCCCCCCGCTAGGATCGGCTCTGTCTTCCATTACAAACATATGTGGTATGTGGTCGCGTAGTGAAAACCATGTTGGAAACCAAAAATCTTCAAAAAATGGTGATTTCGAATTTTCACATTTTCAAATTCTCTACACTTTTAGCTTTCTAAAAATACCATTCTTTAATCTCTATGAAAACGAGAACTATAAAAAAATCTAGTTTTAATTTGTTGTCGAATGCTTTGATAAATGGGGATTTTTACATAAAAACGCGTTTTTCTCCAAACGTGATTTTTTTTTTACTTGATGTACCTTTTCTCAGGAACTACTGCTCACAGGTATCTGAAATTTTTATGGCTTATTTATTATGTTTCCTAATATTTACTTAAATGAGCTTTTTGTGATAAACCAAGGAAAAAAATTAGAAAAAGTGTTTTGTGTGAGAAAAGTGCTAAATTTTACTATGCCTAACAAAATATTCTGTAAATTACTCTGAAATTCAAAATATTTCAAAAGCACATTACATTATAATCAAATGGATATACTTCAATTACACAAAAAATTTCAAGCGTGTATCTACAGCAGAATTTGAGAAAAGGTACATCGAAAATGGCCAATTTAACATTGTCGGTATAGGGCTTTCCAACACCCCTCAAGGAAACCACTGAGACTGGTCACGTGTAAGATAAAGAAACGCGCCTTCTCATAGCCAAGCTGTCGAAATTCTTAATTTGCAGTGTGAAAAACCACTGAAGCTGAAATCATGGAAACAACCACCTTACAATTTTAACAGTAGGACCTAAAATTAACGAATTTTTTTTTTTTTTTAAATATTTTGGAGATGGATACTTCAGTATCTCATTTTAAAATAAAAAGGAGAAAAAGTACAAACTGCAAGTACACCTAAAACAATTCTGAAGATATGAAGAAATGCAGAAAAAAATAGCGAAAATTTTAGTATATTTTTCTGTTTAAATTAGAAACCTCGGGATCAAGATAATTTGTCTGTAATACATACCTAGAAATGGCATGAATTTATAAATGCGTATACTTGAAATAAATACATGTATATAAAAAGACGGATGATATCGATAATTTAATTGACATATAATCTAGTTTGCCCATATATTATGCCTTTACATAAAATAAATACTTCATAATGTTTGCACAATTTTTATTCCAATTTAAAGCTATTGTTTCTCAAAGGGCCAATAAAATTTAATTTTTCTCGTAAAACAAGCTGAAGCTTTCATTGATTCTACTGAAAAGTTTCTAATTTTTAATCTAAAATGATAATATGGAAAAATTTTAAATTATCTTGGAACCGATTGTGCTTATATTATTGCTCTTTCGTTTCCATATCTTGTTACATCAGAACACAATATTTCGTTAACACGATTTTGGAATCAGTTATGGATTGAATCTAGGACACCATTCCTTGGAGAGGTGCTCTTAAGAATGCGTGGATGACTTAAGCATGACATTCGAGTGCTTTGATCTTAATCTTATTAACACGACTTAACGCGCTTATAACATCTCCTGTCCAATCTGAATCGATAGGTGTCCTTTTTAATACGTGCTCCAAGGCAGAGACTTAGACACCGATTACAGACACTGATTCTTTACATCAAGAATGCCCCTTTCTTATATTTATGGTGAGCAAATGTTGTCCTCAACAGATTCATGGTTGCACAGTGTACTATCGTCTCAAACAGATTCTTTTTAAGTCACCGTTTTTCACTACAGAGTGTTGAGTTTGGTGTAAAATTTTTAGCTTGTGAAGTATCGTTTAATTTTCTAACCCTTTGTTTTAACTTA